GTGTCTGGGGCGGAGTCACCATTCTGAATTAGTGCGCGCGGGCTTTAGGATCTAGACCTCCTGGGCTCCTGGGACTCCAAAGCCTCTGGGGCCACGTCTGCCCCCTAGCGCTTTTGCGTCTGTCCACCTAGCGGTTTCGCGTACTCTTGATCCATGCGCATGCCATGTCCGAAACATAATTACATCGTACGTAAGACATGGTCGTAACACACGTTATGTACAATTAAGACAACATGAATACCAGACCATGATATCGCTAAGGCGTGGTTCAGATTTTACAATGACGATTTAATGAAGACTCAGTTGCGACGTTCACACATAGTACATGATTTGGGGGAGCGATCTACATGAGGGAATTCTTAGTATATCTTATGACACCATGTGCCCAAACAGTAACCCGAGATCTTGTCCATCACATTTGCGTGTTGCCAACGGGGTTCGTGTATCTCCAGAATAAGAAGCGACCCCCGTACCTCCCCCGCATCCCCACGGGTAGCCAAGGTTCGAGTCACTTCGGCTGCCCAGCTCGGCTAGTCCGAGCTCCTGGAGGACCCCCCCCGCACACCCGTGGCCCGCCGCCCAGCCATGGCGGAGGGAGGGGGCGCTGGCCCAGCCGCGGCCGCGGGCGCAGGTGGCCCAGCGGCGGCGGCGGCGGTTCTTCCCGTTGCCGCTCCCAAGACGTCGCCGTCCAAGATTTCTCTTGGCCGCGGCGAATTGTTCGCCGCCATCAGCAAGGAGACGACCAGCATGTGGGGGATTGTCGGCGAAGAGGGCAACAGGGTTCCATGGGCGACGAAGTCGTGTTTACATTTTTATGTTTCCATTTTAGTTTACCCATCCTTCTTCCAATCCTGTTCATGCTCCCCCCCCCGCCCTCCTTCTCCTGCTCATTCCCCTCCTCGGCGCGCCCCCTCCCCCAGGTGTCGCAGTGCGACGTCGCCAGGGTCATGTTGGCTTTGGTGCAGGTTTGCAAAAAGGAGCTGAGGACCAAGAAGGCGATCGTGATACCAGGCGTGGCCAAACTGACCTGCAAGAAAATGCGCGCCCAGCCTGAGAGGACGGTCAAGGACCGAAGTTTTATGTTATGTGGTGGGGAGACAGAGAAGGAGGGAGGATGTGAGGGATGATGGTGGAGGGGGGAGGGGGGGGGGGAGAGACAGAGGAGGATAAGGAGGTATACGTATAGGGATGGGTCCAGATACCGGCAGCGAGGAGGAATCGGGGTAGGGTGAGGGGTCAAGATAGGGAAAGAGAGAAGCATCGGACAGAGATGGTGATAGGGAATGAGATCTAGGGCGAGGGATAGAGATATCGGAGGGATGATGAACGGGATAGGGACATATATGGGAACTAATATGGGGATAGGGATAGGTGTAGAGATAGGGGCAGGATAGAGACAGCGCGGAGGAGGAGGAGGAGAATGAGGGATAGGGATCTCGATAAGGTGAGGGATAGGACGAGGAGGAGGAGGATAGGGGTGACAGCGAGGAGCAGGGTAGGGATCGTTACCTCGAGTAAGGCATTGTAGAGTTGGCAGTGAAGTGCATTGCTCGAGGGCAGAGTTTATAGTACGTCAAAAAGTTGCCTCAAAAACGGCCTCCCAGATCAAAGGCAAAGACTCCACCATCACGGCCCGCGGGGAGCACCTGTTCGTCAAGGCGTACCCGCACAACGACATCCGCCGCATCCCATTGTCAGTAGCAGCTGAGGTTGATGAGGGCGGCCCCCCTGGCGGCGACAATAGCTTCGGCGAGGACAGTTCGTCCGAGTGAGATGGTTTCTTCAGTGAGGATGCCTTTTGGGATGGCCCCTTCAGTGACGATGCCTCGCCCGATAGCTTCAGCGAGAATGCTTTTTGCCCAGGCATTCTCGCTTCAGCGGTGACAGCTTCAGCGAGAATGCTTCGTTCGAGTGGGTGTAAGTCGGGGCGCTCGGCCATCTCAATTGGCTCTTCGGCTGGCCAGACGTATTTTCGTGCCCGTGCGATTTAGTTCGGGCGGCGCCTTCCAGAGGGAGAGAGGGGCGGGATGTGCCGACATTGCTGGAGGGAGCGGGATGGGGGAGGGGGATGGGCAACGGGGGTCTAACGATCCATCCAGTAAGGATGATGAGGAGGATGAGAAGGATAAGGAGCACGGTCTGGAACATAGGCGCCTAAGTTGTTGGACGCCCCTGCTCGGCCGAGTTACCCAGTGGCGCGAGGCGCGTCGACAGTTGAAATGGTCAACGTCCTCATTCTCAACCCTTCAGTGGGTTCTATATGTGCTGGTGCGCGTTGAGTCCAATATGCATTGATGATCCAACATTGCATGCGCGTCGAGTTCTATATTGCGTGCTCGTTGAGTCCTATATGCACTGCAGGCCATTGCAGGCGCTTTGAGTCTGATATGTTACTGCTGAAACCAACATTCACGAACCATCGCAATCTATTTCATCATCAATGCTTCGCGTTGAAGCACCCTGGAGCCCCAACTGGTAACCTTTCCGTGTGGTCCCCCTCTTGAACCTCGCTTCAGGCTCCTCGTTGGCTCCCTGGGACCCCCTCCTTGGGACTCCAGCCCTGCAAGGCGCCTCCCTTTGGGCCGCTTTGGGCCACTCCTTCGGGTTCCAGCTCGGAGCTCCGTTTAATCAACGCGTGTAGGATATGGTCGACTCCTAATGCTTGGCTCTTCGCGCACCCCCACCAGCCCATCCACGAGCGACGCCCGAGCGAGTTGAGGTGGTCAGGGACATGTGGGAGCAACGCAGGGGATCCTCTTGGGGCCCTCTTGAGGCCCTCCTGAGGCCCTCTTGGGGCCCTCCAGCGGCCCTCAGAAGGTACCAAGAGGGCCCGAAAACGGCTCCAAGAGGGACCCGAAGCAAGATACGCGAAAGGCGTTTCGCGTATCTTGCTTTGGGGCCCTCTTGGAGCCGTATTGGGGCCCTCTTGGGGCCCTCGGAGGGGGTTTGGAGGGGCCCAAGGGGCCCTCTTGGGGCCCTCTTGGGGCCCTCCAGCGGCCCTCAGAGGGTCCCAAGAGGGCCCCAAGACGGCTCCAAGAGGGCCCCAAAAGATGAGAATCGCGATTCCCATCTTTCGGGGCCCCCTTGGTGCCGTCTGGGGCCCCTCTTGGGGCCCTCTTGGGACCATCGGGGGGGTGTTGGAGGGGCCCAAGGTGCCCTCTTGGGGCCCTCTTGGGGCCCTCCAGCGGCCCTCAGAGGGTCCCAAGAGGGCCCCAAGACGGCTCCAAGAGGGCCCCAAAGCAAGGTGCACGAACGGCATTCCATCCCAAGGCCTTCAGACGGCTCCAAGAGGGCCTCTTCTCTCGCCGCAGCCTGACAGAAGTCCAAAACAAACAAAAGAAATCGACCAGCCAGACTAGTCAGACCAGCCAGACCAACCAGACAGCCAGGCCAACCAGAAGGCCAGCCATACCAACCAGTCCAGCCAGACCAGACCAGCCAGACCAGCCAGACCAGCCAGAACAGCCAGACCAACCAGATCAACCAGACCAGCCAGACCAGGCAGACCAGCCAGACAAACCAGGCCAGCCATGCCAACCAACCTAAACAGTTTCCAGACCAGCCAGACCAGCCAGACCAGCCAAACGAACCAGACCAATCGTACATATCAAACCACCCCTGTTCCCTGGCCTCCGATACCCGATGCCCGCTCCCCGTCTTTAGCCGTTCTGTCCCGAGGATCCTGTGGTGGCACCCGCACTGCTCACTGCACATGTTGTACTGGCTCGGCCCCCGTTGTCTGAGTTGATGGGGGAAAAGGGGCCGTAGGAAGAAGAGCCCCGCCGATGGCGCTTTGTCTGAGGATGTCCAAGTGCTGTCGCCTCGTCGGCGACGTCCTCGGCTGTCCGAACATGCGTCCCAAGGTGGTTCTTCTCGGTTCCAGGCGGAGCTCGATCATGGCGATGAGAACGGCCAGCGCTTAGATGAGGCCGAGTCTGGGGCGGCGCCGCATGCCGCGAGACAGGCCGACAAGCCGCGCAAGGTCTACAAGAAGAAGGTCTTCGAGTGCGGCACCTGCGGGTTGCCCGCGGGTCAGGCCACTTGGCACAAGGAGGCTCGTTGGATCGGGGACAAAGTTCAGACCGATCGTGGGTGTGAGGGGTGCTACGATACCTTTAAGTGTGGATCGTTCGACGTCATCAGCGGCATGGATTTCCCCCCGTTCTGCCAGGCGGTCCACTCCGACCCTAAGCTGAAACCGACGTGGGAGGCGGCTGTTGAGAAGAAGAACGGCGCAGTCCACAGAGACGGCACGTGGGTCGACTCGAAGCCGACCGAGGTCTGCGAGTGCACTGCGACAGGCTTCAGGGTGCTCGCTGAGAAGCGCGGGTTCACCCCCGCTGAGTTCGAAGCAGAGTTCGGGAAAAAAGCCATCGGATATTGGATGCAAGCTGCAGGATTTGGTGGAGATGAACGGCACGCGGCACAAAGGTGTACTCAAAAACAACGAAGGCGAGAAACATGGTACGTTGTATCAGACTTGGCGGGACTACGAGGTCAAGCGCAAGGAAATCACGATGCCTCAGGCTAACACTCTCTACGCGCAGCAGGGCGAACACTTGTTCAAGCAGCTGGTTCACCACGACATGAGCAAGCGGTCTCCAGAGGCGCAGATGCTCTCGAAGCTTAAACATTGCAGCTTGACCTCCGAACAGATCAACGTTCGTGCTGGTCGCTTGCCGCCTGGAGGCTGCGGTCTTGACGGTGGCGGTGGATCGGGCCGAGGGGGCGGAAGCGGTGCTGAGTCTGACGGCCATTCGGAGGACTCCGACGAGAGCGGCGACGATGACGACGAGGGCGGCTCGGACTCACATCCTCCGAACGACAGCCCGGGGCCGATGGAGGGGGTGACCCCAGCCAAGTCTCGTGGGAGCGCCTGCTCAGCGCAGTCTGCGGCGACGCCTCCTGCCAAAGCCGCCTCCGCTGCACCCAGCTGCCGTGCTCCCAGCGCAGCAGCGTCTGGGCAGCGACCTGGGCCTCCGAGCTTGAGCGGCTCACAGGTGTCACAGCTCAGGAGGGGCACCTCCCAGGGCGACCTGGGCGCGCTTTTGACCGCTGGGGGTGGCCAGAAGAGGGCGGAGAGGTTGACCGTGGAGGATTACATGCGGATTTTGACGTTCGAGGGTGCCCTTACACCAAAGACATATTCAAACTTGCACGATCGGTTCGCCAGGAAGCTCAGGGACGAGTTGGAGTCGAAGAAAGAGAGGACCCACGAGTACTTCTTAATAAAGGAGCACATGGAAAAGATGGACAAGGTCTTGGCGTTCGCGGCGACAGATATCTCCACGCGCCCGAGCGCTGACTTGCAAGACGACTTGAAGGTCATAAATGCGATCGTCGGGACGTGGCCCACCAACATCAAGGACGCCATCATGGCCAGGCGCATTTCCGACTTGGGAGAGATCAACGACCGTTCAAGCGACGCTGCAATCAAAGAGATGATGCTCGCAATTGTACCGTGGAAGACTTCAAATTGCGATGGGGATGTCGTATTCGATCCGCTCAACCCGAGCTTATCCATGATGGACGGTTCGCAGCAGGAGAAAGCAAACAAGTTCAAAAAGTTGATGCTCGACCACGTGATCTCGAAGCTGCTATCACAAGGCCCGCCCGTGAAGGTCCGCACCCTTCAGGTGTGCAGCTTGGCCCTGGATATCTTCAGGCGGAAGCCCGACGACTTGGACGATGACGTGCTGGCGATGCTTTTCACGATGGTGAAGGTTTTGAAGGGCCTGATTTCCCTGTGTGACGGCGCGGACACTCGCTTCATCGAACAAGGCTGCCTACTCATGGAAGTTCGAAAAGGCAGCGGCGCTCGCACGACGGTAGACGAAGTCGCAGCCATCATCCGTGGGGTGCCCTCCTGGAAAGATGCAATGGACGACCTCGTGAACAAGGGGCCCTCGACGAGAGAGCACCTCGACGCTTTCATCGCCCTCCAGAAGCAGCCCGGCCAGCCAAGGGGCGCGAGCACTTTGGACGTCAAGGTCATGTCAACTGCACTCTCTGAGTACTCGAGCCTCGCGCCCAAGATGCGATTCGAGCTGAGCATCTCATTGAAGAAGCTGTTGGTGAAGCACCTTGACCGCGCACGGGACGATGCCATTAAGTACGTCAAGTCTTTGAGGGGTTGGGAGTTGAGCAACATCCCAGTGGGCACTGCGACGACGACTGTATCTGAGTTCCAATCCCTGTTCAAGCAGGCAGACGGTCTCTTGGATCTGGAGGACTTCAACGCGAAAGACGTGCTCAAGGAGCTCGATAGCGCGGAACAGTTGGTCAGTGATTCGAGCCAGTGCCAGTCTTTCGTCGATGTCATGGGGGCCCTGAGGACCACCTCGCCATTCGAATTGCAGGAGACGGACGTGCAGAAGATTTACGACCACGCGGTGAGGGCGCCAAAACACGATGCGACCATGGCGAATGCCGCTGCTCCCGCAGCTGCAACCCTCTGCGACTTCGTTGAGACCGAGGCTGGCTGGGAGCACCCCCAGCTCGACAGCCTCTTGGAGATCGGAGTGGAGCTCGGCAAGTTTCAGCTGGTGGACGCTAAGCTCAGGGCCCGCTTTCATGCGATGAAGAAGGCAATCGCCCTGAAAATTAGTCGTCAGGCCTACGCAAGGCTCGGAACGGCGCCGCTCGACAGAGCCCACGCCGACTCCGCGCTCCTGCATGCGAAGAGCTTGCTAGCGGCGTTCGAGGATTTCGAGCAGGCGATCTCTGCAGTGGGGGATAACTTCCCGCCACCTGGCAGCATCATGGGCGCCGAGCGTGGCGCCTGCAGCACGGACCTCAAGGAGATCTACGAGAACGCGCTGCTGGCCACGGGCACGAAGATCAACCACAAGGTCGAGGAGTACAAGGACATTGCCATCGACGCCGCAGGCATCAGCAAGCGCTGGACCGACCAGATCGGCAATAATAAGGTAGACGGTGATGGGATTGTCGGCGCTCACAAGCTGGCCAAGAAGACGCTGCTCCAGCTGAACGGCGATGAGTTGGAGAATAAGGTCTCGGAGCTCAAGTCGCTGCGGGCCGATCTCGTCATCGTCATCGACACGTTCGGCCGTGATCAAAAAGAGGTGGAGTTCCTGAAAGATGGCAGCGATTTCATGAAGTGCATCGTCTCTGGAAGCATGGCGGTCATTGAGGCGAAGCTGATGATGGGCTACGGTAAGTTCAACGGCAATCAACTGAGCATGCACAAGTTCGTGGTCAAGTTGAACAAAGAGAAAAATAAGCTGGACCCACCCATTACGATGGTTCCAGTTTTACGCCAGTACATGGATGATACTGCCAACTTGGACTGAGTGCTGAGTGCAGGACGGCTGCCACCGTTTTGTTTTGAGGCTGAGGGGCCTCTTCGGCTGGCCCGCGAGATAATCGAGCTCTTGCGATTTTGTTCAGTTCGGCGGCGCCCTCCAGGGGGGTAGAGGAACGGGATGAGCCGAAATTTCAGGAGGGAGCGGGACGGGGGATGGGGGTGGGCAATCGGGGTCGACCGATCCCCCCACTTCGTACTATAAGGATGGTGAACCTGATAAGGAGCACGTTCTCGAACATAGGCGCCCACGTGTCTGGACCAGCCTGTGCGGCAGAGATGCCCAGTGGCGCGAGTCGCCTCGACAACTAGAATGGGCAACGCCCTCATTCTCATCCGTCCAGTGGGTTCGGAATGCATTGATGCGCGTTGAGTCCTACCTGCGTGGGTGGTTCAATATTGCACGCGCGTCGAGGCTATATGGCATGTTCGTTAAGCCCTATATGCATTGATGGTCATTGCATGCGCGTTGAGCCCCCCATGTTATACGCTGAAAACAACATGCACGAACAATCGCAATGTATTTCAGCATCGACGCTTCGCGTTGAAGCACCCTGGAGCCCCAATTTGTATCCTTTCGTGTTGCTCCCCTTCTTGGGCCTCGTTTCGGGCTCCTCATTGGCTCCCTGGGCCCCCTCCTTGGGACTCCAGCCCCGCAAGGCGCCCCCCTTGGGGCCGCTTTGGGCCACTCCTTCGGGTTCCAACTTGGAGCCCCGTTGAATCAACGCGTGTAGGATATGGTCGAGTCTTAATTCGTTCCGTGTCCCTCTGCCCCCCCTTTTGGATTTGTTTATGGGCTCCTCGTTGGCTCCCTGGGCCCCCCTCCGTGGGACTCCAGCCCCGCAAGGCGCCTCCCTGGGGGCCGCTCTGGGCCACTCCTTCGGGTTCCAGCTTAGATCTAAACTTACTTGGCGCTGGTAGGATCGGATAGAGTAGAGTCGACAAGTATTGAGTAGAACAGAGCAGAGGCCCAACATCCAGACCAACCAGACCAACCGCACCAACCAGACCAGCCAGACCAACCAGACCAACCAGAACAACCATACCACTCAGACCAACAAGACCATCCAGACCAACCAGACCAACCAGACCAGCCAGACCAACCAGACCGCTCGTTCGGGCCCGTGAGGTTTTCCAGGTGTTTGCTCGGGCAGATAGAGTTGTCCAGATGCTTGTTCGGGCCCGATGGGTTTTCCAGTTGCATGCTCGGGCCCGCTGGATTTCCAAGGGCCCGTCTGGGCCCGCTGGGTGTCCCAATTGTTTTCTTTCGGGGCCGTCGGGGTTGACTTCGTGCCCAATCCGTCGGGTTGGCCATTCACAATTGTGCTGCGTTGCATTCGAACGTTCTGCGATCCGTCTGACTGGTCATTCACTATTTTGCTGCGTTGCGTTTGCATGTTTGCGATCCGTCAGACTTGCCATTTGCCATTTCGCTGCGTTGCACTCGTCCGCCATTCTCGGCTCCATTTCGCCCAAGCTGTCCTTTGTAATCGTCATGTTCTTCCTGTGAGTTGCCCCGCCCGCGTGGGGCCGTGATAGAATCCGTCGGAAGGATAAGCACGCCCTTTTCTCCCCCGATGCTTGTTTGGTTCCTTGGCGTGTCTGAGGTCGTGGCCCGTAGGCCTACTGGCGCATATTCAACAGACGCAACGCATCGTTTTTCAAAGCGACGCCAGCGACATGTCGCTTCTTTTTGAACAACCTTGAGTGTAACCCAAAACCTATCTTATTTTGTTTTCATAAAAACAACGTCAAACTAACCTGAACATAACTTTCTCATCATGTTCTTGCCTCCACGGCTGTAGGGGGCGGAGAACAGCATAATCCTCCTCCTCCTCCCGCCTCCTCCTCCCTCCTCATCTTCCTCCTCCGTAGCCATGTTGGCTCAAGATGCCTTGTTCCGCAGGGGAACGCGTGGATACCGCTAGTCCGCGGCCAGTGCCAGGGCGCCTCAGCCCGACAGTTTTGTTCAGGTCGCTGCGTGCCTCCTGCTGCCCGCAGGTGGGCGCTCTCGTCTCCTCTCGTGCAGCATGGGAAGGCTACGGGTTCCATCGGCTGCAAGGCGTGCGGCTACAAATGGAACTGGGCCAACAAGACGGAGTGTTTCAAGTGCAAGGCCGAGCTCATGCCGTCCATTGGAGCACCGCCGCCGTTGTCAGGAGTATGGGCTGAGAATCAGAGGTATTCCACGGGATGGTCAAACTTCGGGCGCGGCTGGGCGAAGAGGGCACCTTGGCGGAAGGACGGAAGCTAGAAGTCTTGGAAGTGGGAGCACCAGGGCGGGCACGACGAGGCGGCGCAGCTGGCTGACCCGCTCTCCACCACGCCCCTCATCGCGAGCGCGGCGTCCGACCAGGGTGATGGCGACGAGACGGACCCCGCGATCGCGGCCGCCATGGACACGCCGCGGCGCAAGGCTCAAGCAGAACAGGCAGCCAAGCCAGCACCAGCGCCTCCAAAGACACGAACGGGGGCGCAGCTGCTCGGCGACGCCAACAGCGCGGTCAAGGACATCGATCACCGCATCGGCAAGCAAAGAAAGAAGCTCGTCGACGCACAACTCTGCCTGAACGACCAAGAAGAGTAGATGGCCAAGTTCGAGCATCAACGGGTCGAGACGCTGCAGCAACAGCGGGAGGCCTTGGCGCGCAGGCCAGCGCGGAATCGGGCATCGAGGTGGCCAAGCCCGAGGTGACGAGCAGAAGGCAAAGACTGATGGGAAGACTGCTGCGTACAGCGTTGTGGCTACAGCTCCTGGGCAGGCTGTTTAGCGCGGCCGATTGCACCGAGACCGCCACGAACACGGACTCCGATGCTGAGCCGTTCGCTATCTTGTTCGGCAATATCACGGAATGGGGACCGCAGGTACGGAATGTTGTGGAAGGTCCCAGCAGCAAAGGATGCGATTGTCTACCTGTCGTCGATGCGCACAAAGGATCAAGCGATATATATTGAGTACCAAGAGTTCCTCACAGAAAGAGGGTTGGAAGGCAGCGATCACCCCGGCGGTCCCGAGTGGCGAATCTCAGCATGGGCCATCGGCTGGGGAAGTGATCGCAACGCGGACGCACATCCGAGCTACATCTCTTGAGCGTTGGAAAGGCCAGTATGACAAGCAGGGCGACGCGGCGTTCGTCGGCTTCTCCCCCGTGACACTTCACCTCAGCACGGGCAATTTCACCCTCGTCGCTGCGCACCTTCAGCCGAAGATGAAGTTCACAGGGAGGAATCGAGAGATTATGGCAGCCCTCGGGGCTTTCGCGGGGATGCAGAAGGATCATTGGCTCGTACTTGCAGGTTGGAACTGTTTACCGACTGAGCTACTCGCGCCAGGCTGGATCGAGTAGATGCACGGCGAGATCGCCACATTCCCCGGGAAGGTTACCTGCGACAGAGGGCAAGGATCACTCTACGACTACGGAGCGGCATCAGCTGGGTACAAGGAAGCGCTCACCATCACGAAGGCCCTGGCTGCGCCATGGGCTACGCATTGCGGGTCGGAGATCCAGGCGGCAAGCAGAAAGCAGGGATGGTGGCACCGTACTCATGATCTCCCCAGAGCGTTACCTACGACACAAAGCGCCAACCAGCAACGTGACCCTGAAAGCAAGAGAAGCAAACAGAGGGACAAGTACTTAACGACGGGCTGCCTTGGAGCCAGATCTCAGGGACGGTCTCGACTTACGTGGTCAAGGTCCTGAGCCAGCGGTTCCAAACAGACCCCAGGCGAGCGAGGCGGTCGGTTCTACTACGGCTGCTCCGTTCGCGATCGCCAGCGACGCGCGGGAGAACGCCCACTTGGGACTGTCTAGCATCGGGCCCTGGCCCCGCGCCGCTCCGAACCGCCGCCGCGAACCCCGGCTGAGCCCCAGCTGGGCCCCGTGTCCCAGGAGCGTCCAGGCCAGGGGGGCCGACCGTCAAACAGCCCAGCTGCGCCGACGGATGACTGGCTGAAGCAGCGAGCCGCCCCGAGTCTCGGGGCCTCGGACTCTGCCCCCAGCGGGGGCCCCCGCGGCCCTTCCCACGCCCTCTCACGAGCCTCCTGCGACAGAGGCCCCACCTGAGATATGGGCACGCGATGAACGATGGCGACCACAGGCTCATCGGGGACGACCTCAGGTTGCGCAGCAGCTGGCAACTCTCTACGGCAGATGGGTCACTACTTTGGAGTACGCAGTACTGGAACACCCGGAAGTACCACGGTATCAACGAGACGGCTATAGTGGCAGGGCGCAAAGGTTCGGCATCAAATGGAAAAAGAGCACTGCAGCACCAGGACGGCCTCACCTTCACAGTCCAGAGGCGGAATGGTGGGCGATTACCCGCGCACGCGCGATTGCGATCAACAGCCTGATCAAAAATATGCAGGGCCCTGAACAGTTGACAGAGAAAAAGCCAGACTATCAAAAACGGGCCCAGCAAATTCACGGCGTCAGCTAGTATAAGAAGGTCGAGGCCACCAACCAGTGGCAGCAGAACGCGAACGACATCTTCAGCCCAGTCAAGCAGGAGCGCGACGACGTCATCGAGCGCACCACTGAACTCGCAGGCGAGGCAGCGCGACGGGCTCTGGCGGATGGGCGCATGGGCTTCATTACCCGGGCGCAGGACACGTGGAAGGAGACGCCAGGAGCATTGCATCGCTGGACATGCGGCGGACCCTGTGCAGATTATGCAGCATAAGAGCGACACATTGGCGAACGAGTGAACAGCAACACCTTGGAGGCAGGAAGCATTCAAATCGGCTTGAAGAACTTCCCGAGATCGGATTCAGGACCTGAACGCGGCCACTAAGCGGGCGGGGTTAAGGCGCCCCGACCAAGGCCAGCTCGAGCACCTGCACATTATTCCGAGTCGGAACTCAACCTCATGTGGCCCCCACAGATCCTCGGCGCTACCGGTGCTATCGCAGGCGAACCAGCAGGGGGTGACCGAGTGTTGGGGCCATTGCTTATGACGGCGCGAATCTGGCCCCGCACGCGGTCAGGT